GCAACCACTGACAACTTGGCGGCTGCGCGTGCTCGACCCGGAGGTGGTCGCCTCGTTCCCCGCCATGACCTACGCCGAGGCGAGGGCGCTTCGGGAGAAGGAAGCGGGAGGCAAGGGCGACGATGACACGGCCGTGCTCGAGTGCGCCATCTGCCGCAGCGAGTTCGGGGACGGGGACCAGCTCCGGCTCCGGCTCCTCCCCAAGTGCAGCCAAGCCTTCCACTCGGACTGCATCAGGGTGTGGCTCGCCGGCCACGTCGCCTGCCACAAGACGCACATAACCTGTTCGATGTAATGCTCATGAGGGTGGACAGAGGTGGAAGAAGAGGATTGACGTGTTGGCCCTATCTGTAATAACGGTCAAAGTTAACGGTCAACCTGACTTGTGGGCCCAGCATGACAGAAAGGCGTTTAGAAGAGGTAAATCGGGCACTTTTCACATTTGGTAGTTTTTTGCCACGGATTAGAACAAAAGTGGTAGTTTTCCACACAAAAGCATAAAGTGGTAGTTTCTGGGTATGGTTTCATGAATTGTGGTAGTTTTTGGTTAAATGCTCTGCATTTTGAGTGGACCTTTGATGAGGTGGCATGTGAGGTGAAAGGTGTGCATGAGATCAACTAATAATGGAATTTTTTTCTCATGCATGTAGTGGTGGGCATTTGATGAGGTGGCGTGTGTGCATGTTGAGATAAATAGGATAGTGAAGATCAACTTCTTATATATATAGGATTCTTATTCTGACTTCCACTTTATCCCCAAATCTCTAATCTTCAAGTCTAATTGGTAAACATGTAAAAAGTATTAATATTAAGGTAAATATTATAGCATAATCTTGAATTTATTTTTGGACGCCCTAGGCAGGTTCAATGTATGCTTGATTAAACAATTTGAGGAACATTAGCTTGCAAATTGTTCGTATGAGTTTCTTAAATTAATAATTCAGGAATATTAGCTTGTAATTGTCAGACTCTTGGAAGGTTATCTGTAATTCTGACCTTAGAATTTTTTTGAGGGGATTTGCCCTTAGATGGGTGGCTGGACCTCCGCGCGAGAGTGCCCCTGCTGCCGTCCTTCGTCCTTCGTCTGCTGCTGCTCTTCTTTCCCCACGCCTCTGCTGCTCCTCCTATCAACACTGTTGCTGCTCCTCTGCTTAAAACTGCTGCTGCTTCCTCTTCCCACGTCTTTGCTGCTGCACTGCTTGCGCCCGACCTCTGCTCCTCCCCTCGTCTCTTCTACTGCTGCTCCCTCTTCCCTGCTGCCCTTCTCTCAATCCCACGCTGCTGCTCCTTCTTCTCCTCATCAGCCGATCCCCTTTTCCCCATCCTCTCCCTCTCTACTCCTAACTGTAGATCGAGGTCCGTCCTCATCAGCCGATCCTCTTTTCCCCATCCTCTCCCTCTCTACTCCTAACCCTAGATTGAGGTCCATAACACTCCTCTCCCCGAACAACAATGGCGGAAGACGGTCTCAACGACTACGAGCGCCTTCGCCAGGAGAACATCCGGCGCAACCAAGAAAAGCTTGCCCCCATCCGCCGCAAGGCCGACGAGCTCTCCGCCCCCATCCGGCTCGCTAAACCTAAGCGACCGTATCAGGTCAGGCCCAAGGCCCCGACGGGCCCCGTCCGCTCCTCCGGCCGCGCCCGCGGCATCGCTCCCGACAACCTGCCCCCGGATCTCAGCCTCACACCCTCGCTCGCCTCCTCCATCCTCGGGGGCGGGGCTGGGACCAATGTTCGTGCGGCGGACGACTTCAATGCTGGGAGGGGCATGGTGCTGATGCGCGCACACGTGAGAAACGTGGTGCCCTGTAGCATAGAGTCGATGCGGGTCCTCCCGCTCGCCGACCAGACCGTGGTGGCGGCGGGGGACAAAAGGGGGAATATCGGGTACTGGGACGTCGACGGTGTCTCGGAGGATGCCGACGGTGTGGATGGGGTCGTCTTCAGTTATTGGCCACACAAGTGCCCTGTGTCAGCAATCGTGGCGCACCAGGTGGCACCACACAAGGTGACCTTCCTTCGGCTCTTTTTTCATTTTCTTGGGACTCCTCGTTAGAGTCATCCAATAGGTGCATCTGCTAATCATGATCAAGGTAGCTAAATTAGGTTGGATTTATCCCATTTCCAGTGCGCAAATAGTTATTTGGATGTTGTATATCTCATTGAATGTTCTCTATCAATTGTAATTCTATTTTGTGATGTACTCCCTCCGTTCCTAAATATTTGTCTTTTTAGACATTTCAAATGACTACTACATACGGATGTATGTAGACATATTTTAGAGTGTAGATTCACCCATTTTGCTACGTATGTAGTCATTTATTGAAATGCCTAGAAAGACAAGTATTTAGGAACGGAGGGAGTATTTCATTTACTTGGCTACAGTTTTACAGCTCTAGCCATCAGGGTGAAATTTGTCTTATGGACTTTGAGAAGGAGATGTATAGTATGGTTCATTTAAGGGAGTGGCCTGTTTATTCGCTTTGTCAAGCACAAAATAGTGCCCGATGCCTATATTTTGGTGATGAAAAGGGTGGCCTGACACTTTTCGATGAGCGTGAGGGTAAGGTGTTAACTACATGGGATGTGCATGAGGAGAGAATCAACTCAATAGATTTTCATCCGGAGAAGCCACATATGCTTGCTACGAGTTCAACGGATCAAACAGCCTGTATATGGGATGTGAGAAATATAAAAAGGAAGGAGCCAGATAGCCTGAAGGTTTTCAAACTTGAGAAATCTGCTCAGTCAGCTTATTTCTCACCTAGTGGCCGCATGTTAGCAGTAACAAGGTACTTTATTTCTGACCATTTTTCTACCCTTCAACTTGCTTAGAAGGTTCCCCTCCCTCTTTGATTTAAGAAACATGTTTCTTGAACCACCGTTATGTCATGGCTAGACTCAATAAATGTAAGTTACTGTTAGATTTTCTGCGAGTTGTGCAAATATATCGCTAGACTAGCTAAATACCCGTGCGTTGTTACAGTGACAACAGTAAACTATATAATGCATTAGGAAAATAGTGCCTTGTCCCTCATCGATTATCATGTACGCCTCGAAACCCACTTTATCCGTGCGACATCTCATTCTGTTATGCCTACCATGCAAAATATCAATGTGTTGATCATTCCTTCGATCCTTGCGACTACACACGTTGGTTCTTTCATATACAAATATCTTCATCATGGAATTTGTTCCCGCCGTCTTTCCCAGAATTAAGTACATAATTTATGCAAGAGCCGAGAGGAACATTTGATATATAATCAGCATAACAAATCAATCTATAGAATGTTGCAAAATAAGTAGGACTTGGGAAGATATCCATCGGATTTGGACTCACCAGGCCATTCAAATATAATTTTTTATTCCTCTTTCCCTTGTGTTCCTATTTGGCTAAGTCCTGGAGTTAATTGCCTTTGTCTGGTCAAAGCAAGTGCAGAAACTTCAAAACCATACTGTGTTGGAGACATTGAAAATGAAAGATGGACAACACGTCAACATCTTACAATCTGATAATGATATATAAGAAACATATACCCGAAGTTGCCTGCATGCTTTGTCATCACTGAAGGGAATTTGAACAACACAGGGAGACTGGTGAATACTGGATGATAAATTATTTATATGCAACAACACAGCGTCAAGTTTTCAGATCATGTAATTTGTCCAGCAGGCGTTCATTCAGTTTTCAACATTCGTTGAAAAACTACAATTCTCCCGCTTGCTTCCTCTCCGGAAATCACCATTTCCCTTTCTTCCTCCCAACCCTGAAGAAGATAAAGCATGACGATGGTACATCTCTGTCCTTCCTCGTCTCTGCCTCGGGCTCGCAGCTGCTTTTGTTACACATGCACTCTTTATCCAACTCCAATGAATTGTAGGTTCTTGTTGCTTCTTAGAAAAAATTGCTACACATGAAGGCCACGCCTTAATATAGATAATTAAACAAGGGACATGTGGTAATCTCAAAGTCCTTACAACCCACAAACAGAGACAGTAACGTGAACAAATGTGCAATTAGCTTTCCTCTGGCTTCACATCAGTGAGTACAAAACCCGACGCCAAAGTTTTTTTTTGGCAAAGGGCATAGTAAGAAAGCAGGGAAACATGTAAAAATAGCACCCACCTGTTGAGCACTCGCACATGTGGACCATCCTGTTGCACCAGCTAAATGCCGGCTGACGAAAACATGGTCGGGCCCCCCTTTGTCGAGCTTCCTCTCGACCGTGTACTCGGGAGATCTTCCTATCTTGTCCTGATAAGATGAAGGAAGTTACCATCAATTTTTGGCTCTCATTCGATACAAGATTGACAGTTTGCCGTATGTGTTTCACTTCAGCTTGGACAGATTCTGTTGTCGTTCCAGCAGCCTGCACTGCTGCTGAATATGCAAACTCTTTCTCCGTATAGTATTTACTTCAACCACATGCTTCAGATTTCCGTAGAAAAAAAGGCTCCCGAACACATAGGTTTGCATCATAAAACTATAAAGCTATTAGAAGCATTGTAGTGGAGTAATCACGTCCATCAGAATAACAACCATCCTAATTCTGTTAATTTTTTCTAATGATGCAGCATCCACATAGTTCTCTTACAATAGAAATAGTATGTCAACACCTACAATTATCAGTAAAGGACCTACATACCATCTAAGAACTAAGAAAGTACATCATGTTTTAATTGACTCTTTCTGCCGGTAGCATGTTCAGTTGACTCTGCTGAATGTATATATCTGTTAAAGTTTATTATATTTAGAAAGTAATGTCTACCAAACAAACCTCCGTTTGAAAATTAAAATTGACAAAACAATGTGTAAATTGGTATATTTTTCTGAAAAATAGCGACAGTAAAGCTATTGTGCTGCAACAGTAGCAATATAAGATGACGATGTCTTAATGTGTAAAGAAATCTGATTGATCTCCTTGGCATCCTCCTATAGCTGGAACATGGGCAGAAATCACATATTTGACCTGAGGGCCAAATCAAATCACAAACTGACCTCGTTCCAAAAAAATTTCACTCTGCTGACCCTTTCGTGTGGCGCCCGACAGCTGGGCGCCACACACTACTATGCAACGCCTCTCTCTTGGGCGTCGCACCTCGTGCCAGCGTGGCAGCCCTGGTCCAGTTGCGGCCCCACAGACAGCACTGCAGCGCCTCAGACTTAGGCGCCACACTTGTAATGTGCAGCGCCTAGCTCTTGGGCGCTGCACATTCTGTGTTCCACTTAGGCTGGCCCCACCCTCTCTCCCATCCCACCCCCACCCCACACACCCCACCCCACACAAACCCTTAGCCTTGCGCCCCTCCTCTCTTCCCCTCTCCCCCCTCTCAAATCCTTCTCAAATCTTGCAAATCCGAAGTATTTGACCGTGGATTTCGAAGCCAACCCCTCCCTTAAGGTAATCTCCTTCGATCCCCTCGTTTTCATCCATAGGAATTGTCACATTTGCTCAAATATTGCTACTTTCGGGAAACCCTAGTTTTGGCTTGGATTTGCAAATTTGTATTGAATCATGTTATGTTTCTTTGCTAATTTGGGTTGGTTAGGCTTTCATAGTATGCTAGGGTTAGGGTTATGTGTGTTTGATGTTGGTGTTAGGGTTATGCTATGGTTAGGGTTGTGGTTATTGTTAAGTGGGGGTTAGAGTTATTAATTCATATATATGTTATGGCATATGTATTTTGTGCAAATATTTTTTGTTAAGTACTTACTTGATATATGTGTGTTTTTATTACTGTAGGGATGGGGAGAACATGTGTTTATGTTCATCATGTGGATAAAGAGGCCTTTTTGAAAGGCAATGTTGAGCCAGACCCGGATGAGCTTGACATGGTGTTTGAGAGTAGTCCAAGCTATGCGGAGCTCTTGGACCAAGTGAGGAAGGATTTGAATTGGATGGACCCAAGTGACGTTGTTGAGTTCAAGGGAAGGCATAATGTTGGTTTTGGAATGCACATCCGTTGGAAGACAATGCGTGTGAACTCCGAGCAACGTTGGGTTGCATACAAGGAGACGGTTGCCGAATCTCTAGACAAGGCTCTTGAGTTATTTGCCTCCAAGAAGGTTGAGTCTACTTTGAATTTGGACTTGAACCGGAACCCCTCACCGTTGGTTGCTAGCACTCCACCACCCATGAACCAAGATCAAATGAGTGAACCTCATTTCACGCAACAAGATTGGCCAACATTGAGCCCGACTCCAAACAACCAAAATGAAGGTTTTGAAGAGGAGAATGATGAGTACGAGGAGGATGACAATGAAGTTGATCTCCATGACAACAATGTGGGTGATCTCGACCAATATCATGTGCAAGAGACAATGGACCAATCCATCCCTTTTTCCCGTGCATATGCATCGGACTCAGATGACGATGGTCCCGATGAAGAAGTTGATGAGGAGGGGTTCAAACCGAAGGAGGCCCAAGCATTCAAGAAGGTATTCGGGCGGGATCACAAGACACCATTGTTCAAGGATCTAAGTCTCGCGGATGAAACCGTTGTGGATGGTGGCAGATGCATATCTCTTGGAGCTAGGCCAAGTTCTCACCGTGATTTGGAAGACGGCAAGAACGGGATATATCCCAGTTGTGAGTTTCAATCCTTCTTGGAATTGAAGATGTGGCTCGACAACTACTCGGTTACGCATTATCGTCCACATAAAGTGGCCAACTCGGACGTCAATGTGCGTTACACGGTCAAATGTGAAGTGCCAAGTTGTCCATGGATTGTGCGTGCAAGGCCATGAAAAGGAGGTCCCACTTGGCGCATAGTGAGTTGTCTACCAAATCACATGTGCCGGCACAAGAATGCAGATGACAAGCTTGTGTACCAACAACACAAACAACTCACGTCCGAGTTCATCGCTTATAGGCTTTCCAATTAAATATCCACACTTCCAACAATGAGCATCAAGAGTGTCATTGACCTTGTGAAAGCCATCTTTCATTACAAGGTGAAGTACAACAAGGCATGGAAGGCAAAGCAAGCCGCATTCAAGATGTTGTATGGCAATTGGGAGGAAGCATACAACCGACTCCCTAGGTTGTTGTTAGCTATGGCCACCACAAACCCAGGCATGGTTCACGTGGTTGAGCCTCATGGGCACCAAACATTGATTCACAACGGGAGGACCGTCCGAGTATTTGGTCGTGCATTTTGGGCCTTTGAGCAATGCATAAGGGCTTTTGAGCATTGTCGGCCCGTCATCGCCATTGATGGCACGTTCTTGACCGGACAATACAAGGGCACTTTATTGGTTGCAATAGCAAGTGATGCCAATAATCGGGTGTTGCCTTTGGCTTTCGCTTTGGTTGAGGTGGAGAACAATGATAACTGGGAGTGGTTCTTGCATCAATTGAGAACAAGGGTATTACCGGCTGAAAGGGAAATTTGTGTCATATCGGATCGCCATCCAGGAATTCTAAATGCGGTGGTGGTTGACATTCCCGGACATAGAAAGTTGCACCATCGATGGTGCATGAGGCACTTTTGTGCAAACTTCTATAGGGCATGTGGTATCAAGGAGTTGGCCGATGATCTTCAAGATTGTTGTCTCGCTTTCACCAACAAGCGGTTTGCCACATTGTTCAATGCATTGCTCAGACACAAGAAACTTGACCCCGGTGGTCATGAATTTCTCAGTAAGAACATTGTCGAAAGGAATATGTGGGCACGTGCTTTCGATGAAGATGGCCGGAGGTACGGTCAAATGACAAGCAATATGGCAGAATGCTTCAATAAGGTGCTCAAGGGTGTACGTGCATTACCCGTGATGGCAATAGTTCAATAC